TGCCCTGAACAAATTTGAGGAAATTGGACAAGTAGAGGACAAAAAAAAAGCAGGTAAAACTACAGCAGATTAACACTACCTAGAAGTCTTGTCCATAAGAAATAGGAAAAACTGCAATATAGATCTGACATAGGACATGAAAGATTCATTTGGCCCTTCAGCTGATCCATCTACTGTTCACAGAAGGAAAATAAGCAGGGAGAAAAGGCTGAGGTGTGCCGAATTACACAAGAACTGCACTAAAAATCAGTGCCAACAGGTCTTGTGGAGTAATGAATCCAGATTTAAAATTCTTGGTTCACTGTCAGAGGATTCCAAAAAAGAGGTGCACCAGTGAGTGTCAACAGCCATCTTGAAAACGTGGTGGAGGCACAGAGGTTTAGAGCTGCATTTCAGCCAATAGCATTGGAGAACATTAAAATAAACACAGAAAATTACGGTCATATTTGATCCACCATGCAATGCCATCTGGCAAGCATCAGACTGTCAACAGCTTCATTTTTTTAGCAATGATCACAGATACTCTGCCAATGCAATTAAAACATACTTAGATGGAAAAACAGTGAAACACCATCAGTCATGGACTGGCCTCCCCAGAGCCCGGGTCTCAACATTATTGAGCACTATGGGTTCATCTTGACAGAAAACAGAACAAAAGGCAGTCAATATCCAAAAAAGAGAAGAGCTGGAGAGCTTCGAAGCAGCCTAAGAAATTTCAGACTGTATTGAAGAATTAAGTTACCAAATACTGACTTTGAGTGTTCAAACTGCACAAACTCTGTGTTTGTCTTACATACTGATGTATTTCCATGTAAGTTTACAGATATTTTAATAACCGCACGCATTTTCCTGGCACCCACACTACCAACAAAGCAGCTACTATGCTAGTAGCGGCTAATGTAGCTCTGAGCATCTTGCCTCAATAATCAAAAGTGACTCAATTTCAGCTGTTTATGTGCTTTTTAGAATTATTTTACTGTATAGCTAGGTTGGGTCTTGGCTTTTTTTTCTTAAAAAGTTAGTTTTCGAGGTTTAATAGTAACCATATGTACCACTTTAGCTCAATAATGTTAGCATGCTAGCAGCTATACCAGAGTGACAAGCATATACTGTGTTATGTAACCATGTGTGCAGATGAAGCAGGCCCAGGGTGCCAACGGTATTATTTACCAGACCTGATTCACACACACTTCAAACACACCATTGCGACATCTGTCAGTTCCCATGCTGTGCCAACACATTTTTTTTATTTGTTTGTTTAGTTCAGAGGAGGAGGGAGTCCTTCAGGTCAGGCCAGTAAAATGTGAGAACTGGTTCCTGCCCTGCTTCTGCAAGGTCAGTAATTTCATTTAACTGCTCTTTAAAACGAGTCGTCTGCAGGTTTGAGTGGAAAAGAAAACAACACAGAGGTCTTAGATACAGAGTTGAAAATGTTAAGAAATAAAACTGTTTGGGGTCTTTCTGGTTATACAGGGGAGCGGTTTGACGGACCCACATGTGTCTCATATTGGTTGCGTGCTTGCCCTTATGATAAATTAGTCTGGCAGATTGATGTCCCCCCATGTGGAGGGATCTTATCTTCAAAGCTGTTTGGCATCTTTGGAGTAATTTCATTCTTTTCTAACCGAATCAGTAAGATATCAGTTTTGCTTTCCATTAAAAATGAATGAATCTGGTACTCTGAGATAGTTAATTTATCTTCGCCATAGACTTCAACTTTGTTAAAAAAAAAAACATCACTTTGTTAATACAGGGGACTTTATCACAGATAACATAACTTAAATATTTGAGATAATGTGCAAAACGTAAGTAAAAACAACAAAACAATGTAAAGCATACAGAATTTAGAAAATACAGCTGCATTAAATTCTAAATGAGAAAAAGAAAAGTCTCCAGCATGTCCTGGTTCTGCACCAGGGCCTCCTCCTGATGGGACGTGCCGGGAACAGCTCACCCAGGAGGCGCCATTAAGGCATCCTTGTCAGATGCCCGAACCACCTCAGCTGGCTCCTTTCGATGTGGAGGAGCAGCGGCTCTACTCTGAGCCCCTCCCAGATGGCCGAACTTCTCACCCTATCTGTAAGGGAGAGGCCACCCTTCGGAGGAAGTCCATTTCACCCGCTTCTATCCGCGATCTTGTTCTTATTACTAAACAATTAAATAAACTTACTAAATAATTTAATGAATGCTACACATGTGATATATCTATGTAAATAAAAAAATATACTGAAAATAATGTCAAGTATAGTAAAATGGGTTTCAAAAGGACAAATAACGATTTACAAATTCAAAGACAAGACGTAAAAAACAAGATGCCCTGCTTCAGTTCATCATTTACAGTGCACTGAGGTAATTATGGGTCACTCCATCTCAAATCAGCACAAATCATGCAGATCTATGATTTGTATTAGAAAATTGAGGTCCAAAGGTTAGACATACATAATGACTGTTGTGAAAATTTTGGTTCTTTGGAGTACTTTTCAAAATATGTGTAATTTTTAAAGATGTCGACCCACTTTCTGAGAATGTATTCACACTTTGAAATCTGAGGTGGTGTTTGATCACAAATTTTTACTGGTCTTTCTTACCATTGCAGCGAATCGGGGTCTGTTTGGGGACAGATGAAATGAGCCGTATGTGTCTTTATAAATGAGTAATACATTTTAACAAAGGCCCTGAGTCCCCCTGTTGAGAACCTAACATCTTCTGTCAAGCAAGACTGGGAAATACATTTCTTACAAAGCTAGTGCAGTCGCTCTGCTCGGTTCACGAACTCTTATAGACTGTTGTTAAAAGATGAGCTGATGTAACACAGGGGTAAACATGACCCTGTCACATCCTCTTCAAATAGTGCTTTTTGGGTCAAAGAAATAAACAAATTTCTCAGTTTTCACATTTCAATTATTTACAGTATTTTAGATGATTTAAAAACCATTGGATTCTGTTTTTATTTTCATTTTGCAAAACATCGAAACCTATACCAAAATGTTCTGTTCTGTCGTGCCAACTCCTCTTTGATCGGTAACATCTCCACACCCATGTGTTTTAGGGAACGAGTATATATTTGTGACTTGTTTTTAAATATTTATCTCTTGCAGGGATAAATGGGTTTGAGCTGCGTGGCACAGGGAGGGTAAAGATGTGCTGAGGAGTTGAGAGATGGATGAACACATTGTTGGTTTTGGTCTCATGCACCGTGTATCGGTGTAATCCATCTGTTCTCCCTGCTGTTCTTTCCTCCTGTCGGTCCTGTTATAGGGGCGCAGAGTGTTCATGGCAGTGAGGCTGACACAGTGGATCTAGTATGTCCCACGCACAACGCTCTGTGATTAGCTCACGGTTTTCCTTTCATTGCCCTACTCGCTTGGCTCGTGTAGCACTGACGTGAGCACGTGATCGACAGGAAGAAAACCTCCAGCTATCTTGCCAAATTGCGTCAGTCAGGCAAATACGCTGCTGTATCCGGTGTCCTAAAGCGAGACTTTTTGAGTGTGTGTGTGTGCGCTGGAGAGCGCAGCTTAACCGTGAGCTCTGCGTGTGTTATGGTAATGTAAGCAGTCATCAATTCCCACATAGGTTTGCAGGCACACGTGTGTCAGTGTCCACCGGCATACCTCCCAATGTGGGCTCAAAACTAAGGTCGTTTTGTGGGTGCAGTGTGTTTGATTGCATGCACGCATGCACACCTGTGCAGCTGATAGAGTGTCACTGACATTTCACATTAACGCCGTAAGTCAGTCTGGATGCTAAGCTCACTGTCATTAATCAGCAGGCAGCAGCAAGTGAGTCATGCTTATTTCCCGTAACCTACTTTCAACAGCATCAGCATGAACAGATAGATAGATAGATAGATAGATAGATAGATAGATAGATAGATAGATAGATAGATAGATAGATAGATAGATAGATAGATAGAGCTGGTGAGGAAGTAGTAGTGGAAACAGATGGGTTGATGGTGTTTGCGTGATTGTTTATAACTGCAGGACACAAAGTCCAAATTGTTACCCGATCCACATCTAACCCCACTCTTCCTCTGCCCTCGCCTCGTCATCCTTTCTTATTCCAGGAAGGTTTAAGGCTATATAGTGACGTGGCTGCCTCTGTTTTCTTCTTGCTCTGGCTGATGTTTGCCAGGTCAAGCTGATAGCACGTGTCTTGAGAGTGGCAAGGCTCGGTCCACACTGAGCCCAAGCAGGGTGTGTGTATTGATGAAACGTAGGCTGCTTTGTTGCACCGCATACAAACAGTCTTATTTAGTTTCAGCCTCTGACACGTTGATAAGTTTGTGGCGGCCGGCAACAGAAACCTCCCTGGTCGTCCATGTGTCTACCAGCTGTGGGACCTGGTGGCCACACGTCTCTTTCACTCTCTCATATATACACACATACTTAGACACTCTGACCTGAGGAAATGGGGTTCCTCAACTGAGATCACAGCTGGATAGGCCACAGGACAGGAGAACTATTTGAAAGGGGCGGGAAAAAAAGAAGACAGGAACCACTTTAAACTCTTTGGTTATCTGCGGTGTCCAATCAATGCATTCACTGCAGAAATAAAAGCCCATGCTTCTGTCCAGACTGAGCTCATCTGTTATCCAGGTTGCATGTCTGTGCATGAAGCCCCGCTTCTTTCTCTTTCTAATTTACTGCCATTATTCAGCAACTCTACACCTCTCAAGTCTGACAGCTTGAGCTGAAAAACTGGGGCAAGATAATACATAGAGCTGAACGGGGTATGACGAGAGAGAGAGAGAGGCCAAGGTGGTGTTGATTACCTTGTCAGCAATGTGCCTGTTGAATTTACACAGCCACTGAAAGAATAGAGAGAGAGGCTAAGAGGGAGAAAAGAGGGGAGAGGAGTGAGGCTGTTAACTGCCTTTCCATACAAGGAGAGGTAGGGGGAGGAAAAGGGAAAAAAAACGAGGAGGGGGAGGAGAAAGCAGGAGAAAGGAAGAGAGAAAGAGGAGGGTAACATGAGGAGATACGGAGAAGGGAGGAGGAGAGAAATTTGGAAAGAGATAAAGACGGGCAACCGAAGGATAGAGGTTGATAAGGCTGCACCAGAAAACCGGTTACAATAGGGAGCAAGTGGAGCTGTACCCTCTCTGTGAGTCTGCTGCAGCTTCTCTCTGTCACTGATAATCCAGCACAGGTAGGGAACACACACTGAGCGACTTCATTCATTCACTGCACAGAAAGCCTGGGTGAGTTTAACCCAAATACCCACTTTAATGGAGAATCTTACTTAAGTAAATGTATAATTTTAACCTTGTCATTATTGCCTCTGAAATATAATGTAATATTGAACACTGACTATTGAATTCAATTGAAATTTGATATGATGCATCAAATTTCAATTGAAAATATCTAATTCTGCAGAATTCAGCGTTATGTTATACTGCATGCATTTAAAAAGCCCAGACTGAAGGTTGGTTGTACACAAAACTAATTTGTGATCTTGCTACTAGCTAGTAAAGTATCTAATAATCACACTATTTTCTCTGAAATGTAGCAGATTTGTGTTAAGTGGCAGTGATTGAAATATTCAAGTAAATAAAGAGATGAATCGATTTCCCATCACCGAACTCTTCCCTTGCAGGAATGATTCGACTAGATGCTTATTTTTCTGTTTCACAGCTCATTTTTAGTTCTTCTTTTTTCATATTATAAATCCATATCCTCCTCACTTTCCTTTTGTACCAGGTGTCATAATTTCCCCTCCAGCTACACGAGAAGCAGTGAAAGTTTCAGACCTGCCGTTGATGTGATGCACATCTCGCTGCGTTGTCTCTTTGTATGCACGAATGAATGAAATGGTTGCGTAGAAGTAGGCTAATTTAAGACAGACTGATGTGTCTCCATTCTCGACGCAAACTCCTAAACCGGCCGTTGCCCCGTAAAAGATTTGCATGAAAAATCTTGGCCACAAAAGCAAATTATCCCCTTTCCATTTTCTTGTTAAAAACAAACATACCTCCGGCTGCGTGAACAAATCTGTGCTTTTGTGTTCATAACCGAATGCCTTTGTGTATGAGCTGAGGTGAATGTGTGTATTATCTCTGCTTGAAGCCACTTTAATTGCACAGTAAATGTGCCCGGAGGGCGGCAGCCGCTTAAGTGTGGCTCTGCGCCACATCCCCTTGTTTTATTGTGTCTCGTGCCTGACAGAAAAACTGCTGTGTTTGTCTGTCTGTGCCGACTGGTGAGTGCACATCTAAATTGTGTGCGTGCATGTAACTGCGTGTTTGACAGTTTTTGTGTCTTTTATGTGTATTTTTTTTAAAAAAAAAGAAGCTATTATCTCTGCATGCGTTGCAGCAGCACGCATCAGCTGGTAGTGTGTCTGCGTGCTGACCGATAAAGCTCATCGTGTCCATGTGGGAATTCAAGAAATGTCTCTTTAGTGTGTTACGGGGTCAATGGGATGAATTCAAAAGAGGGTCAAATAAACCAGTCTCACTGTAGAGCAGGTCAGAGTTGATCAGAAACAAATAATTTCAGAATAAAAGATCATATTCAGACAAAAAAAAAATTGTATCTTTTGCGTCCAGAGTGTTTAAGTAAGTGTTTGCATCACCCTGTCACAGCGTTTCCCTCCTTTTCTCTAATAAACATAGTGGAGAGAGCAGACAGGACAGTCAAAGTTAACAAGTTCACATGCTGATGTTAAAGCCTGCAGGGTCCAGGTCATGAATTTCCACACACAAGCTTCAGTCACAAAGATAAGATAAGAAGCTAAAGTTACTCTCTGGAAGGAGACCCATACTTCTCATCCTGAAGCTTCATCTGCCTCCAGCCAAGCTGCAGCAGTCAGTGAGGTGATCTGATGACTGAGCTACAGATCAAAGCGGGACCTCTGTGTGTCACCATATGTGGGGTATCTTTTACAGCTGGCAATTAAACAGTGCAGTGGAGACGTTTAATGGAGACGGGGAATGGATAAAACATGCTGCGAGGACGCGGTCAGAAAAGTGTCAGAGTTGGAGTTTTGCAGCTATATTGGCAGAGTAATACTATCTGACCCCTGAAAATAGACTTCACTGACAATGTGCAGCAGGACATGAGTGTTTTGTGTGTGTGTGTGTGTGTGTGTGTGTGGGGGGGGGTTACATACACACGTGTGCGTTTTTGACTTGCCCAAATTTAACTGTCTGCATTCTGCAGCTGCTTGGAGTTTTAGTTATACTATAGTAACTCATACAAATGCCACTCTCCCTTTCTGTATCACACAAACGAAAAAAAAGATCTGCCTTGAAATTACACACTGGAGACGGAGCTAAAAGATCTGCAAATAAAACACAATAAGTGAGGTGATGTCATTTTGTGTATTTTCCCTTGAAATGCGTGACTCAGTGAAGCATGTTGATGACTTTGGGGCCATCTAATCTAGGTGCCGGTTTGGATTAGGACGGTATTTGGGAATAATTGTAAGATCACATTTTGAAAGCGGAATCAAAAAGCCAGATCTGGAGCAAATTTAGATGTAAATTGGTACGTGCACACTATGACACACAGTACTGCAGGGTTGTTCTTTCATTTAGGAGAAATAATGCCAGCTAAAAATTGCTTTTGAATCCTCTTGGGTCCCGAGGCTGTGAATTTCCTTCTGAATCCAACTATTGATTTTCTGCCGCTCTTCTTGCTCGTCTTCTTTAACTCTTCTGACAGTGGGACTCTTTCTTTGCCATTAAGAGTTCAACAGTAAGGCTATGCCAGTTGCTCAAAATTCTGTCATTACAGCTACCCTTGAAAGCTGGCAGCAAACACAAATGCTGTCCTCTTCACTGTGAGAATCCGCTTCCTAATCCTCCACTTCCTGCCCTTGTGTGTTTCCCACCTTTGCAATTGCTCAAGTTTTTAATGCACTGCCCCCGTGTGTCTTTCCTTTTTGTGTACTGGCCACTTCATTACTTGCTAGTACCTGGTTGGACCCTGTTTTGCTCCCAGAAGTACCTTAATTCTTCATGGCACAAATACAACAAGGTGCTGGTAACGTTCCTCAGAGATTTTGATCCATGTTGACACAACAGCATCACAGAGTTGCTGCAGATTTGTTGGCTGTATATCTCCTGTTGCACCACATCCCACAGTTTCTCTATTGAATTGAGAACTGGTGACTGTGGAGGCCATTTGAATACAGTGAACTCATTGTCATGTTCAAGAAACCATTTGGAGATGATTTGAGCTTTGTGACATGGCTGGAAGCACCCAGATGGACATGATCAACAGCAATGCTCAGTTGGTATGAAGGAGCCCAAAGGCTGCTAGCCACAGCCAGCCTGAACTGTTGATTCAGAGCAGGATGGTTCCATGCTTTCATGTTATTTACACCAAATTCTGACTCTACCTTTTGAAAGCTGCAGCAGAAATTGGGACTTATTAGACCAGGCAACATTTTTCCAGTTTGCTGTTGTTCAGTATTGGTGAGCTCTATGAATTTTATCCTCAACTTCCTGTTCTTAGTTGACAAAATCGGCACCCAATTTGGTTTTCTGCTGCTGTAGCCTTTCAGCTTCAAGGTTCAGAGTTGCTCTTCTGCATACCTTGGTTGTAACAAGTAGTTATTAAAGTCAATTTTAATTTTGCCTTTCTATTTTATGTCTGCACAGAAATGCACAGAATTCTTGCCCTGTGATTGGCCGATTCCGTACTTCTGCTAATGAACAGCTGTTCCAGCAGTTTATCTGTTTTTTATAGTTGGTTTGATTGCAAAGTTGCAAGTTGAGCTGAGATTTTTTTGTAATAATCTTAAAAAACAAAGTAAAGACAACACTACTTGTTTACCTTCAGTATGCAACATAGAAGCAGTTGTGGTGGAGAGAGTTTATAATTCACAGCCATCCATTTTCTTCTGCTCGTCCAATGACAGTAAATACCAGGCCAACACTCCAACAAAGTGAATAATGTTATTGCTATTAATGTTAGCCAGCTATAAAACAGAAAATTGAGAGGACGGATGTAGTGACTACTTTGTTGGCTACTTTGTTAGAGATAACAGATTATCTCTCCACAGTGGTAGACTCATTAAAAAAACAGAAAAACAAAACACAATAAATTTAAAAATAAATTCAACTAAAAGCATTTTCACCAGAATTTCTGTGGATTTCCCATTAATATTGTTATCATGAATGTAAAAATCACAAAGAGTTCAAAACAAATGGGGGTTTCTAGACTGTGACCTATGGAGCTGAAATGCATTTTGAGCAATTGTCATGCCCCCGTCGCCCCTCTGCCTCTTAATAGAGTGTGAGTCTGAGTCAGCAGCTGGTGGTCAGCGGATGGTCAGTCGGTGAGATCAGTAGAGCAGACAGAAATTTGTATCCATCCTCAGACATGTTGTTTTATTTAAAGGCGGCGTCTACAGCAGACATTACAACGTGTAGCCAGAAACTGGCTTTTTGTCAGAAGTCTCTTGGCCGGACCAAAGAAATGGGAGAGTTTCTTTAATAGGAAGCCTAAGGGTCAGGGAGTTCATCGGGCTTTGGTCTTTGATAAAAAGGCTGTGTTTTGATATCAGGGCTGGGATATGGAATTTTCCCACTCATACTGATTTTCCGGGATTGTCTGGGTTTGGTTTCCTAAATGTTTGTCTTGCGATTTTTTCATTTACTTGCCCACGTACAAAGATTATATGTCACAGAGTTTACGGTAGACTTGTTCAGCAGCTTTTTGTTCATGCCATTTTCCACAGTGATTTATTTATTTCTTTTTACAATGATAGTGCACAGAGCAGGGAGAAAGACTTTAATGTTTTTTTTTTTGTTTTTTTTTTTCATTTCTCCATTTCTTGCAGATGACGTCATCAGAGCACCTGACCTGTGGCTGGCTGCAGCAGCTCCTCCTCGTACTCGTGAAGCTTTGCTTCACATTTGCTGGACCTTTGCGACCGCTCATTGGGACAGAATGCACAGCCAAGAGTCCTGCTTCCTACATCCTGGTCTTTACTGGTCACTGGAGCCCTCAGGCTTTCCCAAAGCAGTATCCACTGTTCCGACCCCCTGCACAGTGGTCCAAACTCATAGGTGAGAAAGATCCATGGGGGTGGAAACACGGGTTACTGGAAAATCATCCATGTTAAATGGAAATTTTTACTGTGACACCTGATAGTCCATTGCATGTGGACTATTACTTCAGATTCGCAACAGCAGCAAAGAGTCACAGTATTTTTTTTTTTCATTTATTTTCAGCAATTAAGAATTTACTAATGTAAAGCTTTTGTGTAACAGGTGAGCCAATCAAAATGCACAAATCACATTCACAGTGAGATTTAAGGACATTTTGGACGAGCAGTCACACTGAAGCAACTTCTGCTTCACCCAAGGGCAGTTTATTTATTTTTTGTTCCTCATCAAGGAGCTTCATGCACAACTGCATAAAAAAAGAGGTTAGAGATGTTAATGAGCAAAACAGCAAAAAGTTGAGAGCAACAAGAAAAACAACCTAAATGCTCCCAGATGGTAGCGTTTCTCTTTGTTTCTCTAACTTCTCTTCAGCCGTATCTTTAATATTTCTCTATTTCTTCGAGTCAGTCCTACTCTCCTTCCCACATTTCCGCTGGTTTACCACAGTGTTGGCGGTAAAGACTGGAGTGGTGAGTTTGGGGCTGCTGAAGGTGGGTGATGATAGTTGGGGTGTGGTGGGGTCAGACCACTCACCTCGGAGCCAGGAGGAGGAGAAGCAGAACCAAATACAACCTTATATTCTCCCTCTTTTAAAAAAAGCAAAAAACAAACATTGCGGATGGATGGATGGATGGCAGATGTCTGCACATCTGTGTGTGCGGCGTCTTGGACTGCTGTGCTGCTGTGTGGTGGCTGCAGCTTTGTCTGGTTTCCAGGTCTCCCATTGGTGCTCGACTGCTTTGCCAGAGGATGATGTCCTACTTACTCCATATAGACAGAGGCATCAGAGATTCTGACACACCCATAATGGCTTTTAATGTTCCAGGGTGCTGGGCACCGGGGATTGAACTTTGTCACAAGAAAAGAAAAACAAAGACCTCAGTAGCCTCAGAGTCTGCAGCAGGGGGACACAAAGAAGACTGGGGATGAAATCTATCACTGCACAAAAAAAAACCAACCTGAAGAAGGTCTGACGGCCAACAGAATAAAGGAGGAATGGAGTTTGTCATAGCCAAAAATAAATACTCAAGAGAATTAGAGGGAAATGGGATTTTATGTCTTGATAGGGCTCAAACGTGATGGGTTATCAAGTTTCAATGATGCTTGTGGGAAGTTTGTTAGGATGGTAATGTAATTAAGCGTGAAGTAATCGCAGTTTGGAAAGAAACAAGATAGTGTGTGAAGTGTGCTGGGCAGATCATGCGTGTGTGTGGCTCGGCGTTTTAACTTAAATGCGTTGGAGTGCGTGCGCCTGTACGCGGGTCTGAAAAGTGAGGTAATGCAGAACCATCAGAGCATTTGTCAACGTGTTTCTGGCTAACCTTACTTTGCCCTTAAAACCACCGGCCCAGGCCATTAGCTCTGTGGGATTCAACAACGTAGCTCCAGAAGCTGTGGTACAAACAGTTCAGCCTAAATCAGTGTCTCCATTCAAAGCGATTTCATAGATAGCCACAACAAAATATAGGAATGTGAGGCAAATGCTCACGGACCCGACGTATCAGAAAAAGCAAGTGTAAAAGTTATGAATTTATTATTTTATCCACCATCTGGCTGCCAATCCGAGTTCCTGACCTACCTCCTGGCAGCAGTGTTGTGGTTTCTTCAGTGATAGATGGAGTGATAGATGGAGAAAGACGTAACTGTAACCTTGCAATATTGCCAAAGACATGCATGTGGGCAATTCCTTTAGAATTAAATGCTTAAGTGCAGGAAGGAGGAAAGAGCCATAGAAATACATGCAGGCTCCACTGGTGGAAATGATCTCATCGTCTGGCTGAGGCTCTGTGGTGCTTCGCTGACATTGATATGCATTCCAGTGAATAAGCATCTTACTCCTGTCATCTCCTCTTTCTTCACTTTCTTTTCTCTCTTTAGCGGTCAGCCATAATCGTCATTTTCGGCTATGGGAGGAGGGCGCTCCAGCCAGCGCAGGGGTTCAGAGCTTCGCTGAACTCGGAGTGACGGTGGAGCTGATGAAGACAGCCAAGGAGGCCAGGAAGAAGCGCGTGGTCGGCGCCATGTACCGAACGGCTGGCATCCCCAACGGCATCGGGCACAGCTCCACAGAGATGCTTATTCATCCCCGGAGTTCACTGGTAGGCACAAATTTACCTTCATAAATACTCAGACGCAGTAAGTCACACAAACCATCTGCTGGGCTAAACCTATTCCGTCATCTGGTGACCAGCCTCCCCATAACATCCACGTTCATCTGCTCTGATTAAACACTTCACCACTTCTTTCCACTATCCAATCAGCCTACGTTTAGCTGAAGTGCTTCAGCTCTGCAGCCACAAACGCCCACATCCATCCTGCAAGGTCTGTGCTCTGTCTGCTGCGGACCCATGATGACGCGCAGCACAGGGAGCTGTTTCTGGAAACACATTTGCCTGTTTTCTTAGCGTTAGATGAGAAGTTTGATAAATTGGTACAGCAAACGTTACGATATCTTCATGTGATGATGAAATTAAATATATAACAACTAGATGACACCCACTATATAAAGAGCAGCACACTGTTTTTACACTTCGCCCATGGTCCAATAAAGACAAGAAAATGTCAGCTGCTTTTGTAGATAACAGTTTACCTGCTTTAAGCCTTCAACTGGCTCCATATTTTGGAAGCAGACAAGAATAATAACATATGCTCCCATGCCTCTTCTACACCAACATTTAATGGTTGCTTTGATCATTTTACCCGTGTACTCAACCTTAAAGTGATCCCAGGTGATCAGAGCATCTTCATGTGACTTCAGCCACCCGAGTGAACCAAATTAAGTAAATGTTTACCAAGATTGTTTTTTTTGCAAACTTTTCTTTTCTTCTGTGTCAGATTTCCTGTACTGCAGCTTAGCAGGGGAAAATCATTTTCTAAGGAAACACAATGTGAAACTGTTGCACTAAAGAACCAGCTGTGGAGGATAACTGCTGGGGTCCCACATGAGCCATATTTAAAGTTGTGGCTTTACTCATTGCTGGATAGCGCTGCGTATCTTGAATGGTGACCGAGTGCGGGAGCAAAAGTCACGGTTGGACTCTTTGTTGAGGCTCGGGTTAAATTTAGGAGCCGGGCTTTAAACAAAGGCAAAGGATTTGAAGCATGGCCATGTGGAAAAGTTACAACTCGAAATAAAATAACCCCTTTATGAGTCAGGCATACGCAGCTGATGAACAAGAAAGAAAAAGGTGTAGAGGAGAGGGTGGACATTTTACTGGAGCTTTTAGGAATAGGTGTGTGTCTGCCTGAAAGTCTGGTGACCTACATTTGTTTATTGCCTGTCGCACTGCTTGAACCCGAGGACCTTAAAAAAATCATAAACAACCTGGTCGGAGGGCATCGTTGGTAAGTACGAGTCATGGACAGCAGCTTAGCAGCTTGTCATCTAGGTATATGATGCCTGTGGCTGCTTTTAAATGGTCTGTTTTTAGACCTGTGAGCAGAACAGCAAAGGAAAGCGTGACATAGGCGGGTTTGTGCCGAGCACACGTGAATGATGTGAAGCTGTTGTCTGCTCAGTCTGCTATTGTGCTTCTCTGTCTGTTTCTCCCGCACGCTCATTTATAAATACCATCCATTCTCTTCCAAACAACCAAAACATTCATACTCAGTGACCTAAAAAGCAAAAAAAAATCCCAAACACATATGATTTCCATCTCCACTGTTCATGACTCTTCTGCTCTTGGTGTGTAATTTAAAACAGACAGATTACAACGAATAAGCCCCGTTGTGAAATTCAGTGCTTTTTGAGAGCAAGTATTCAGGTGACAGAGTCGCATGCTTTCAGGGATGACTATGCTGTTTGTTTTGATGGGTTGGGGAAAAAAGTGAGAGGGGTCATGGGAGATTTGAAACCGTCTGTGCTTTGGAGACACTTCCTGGCCCGTGCGTTGCAAAACATCCGCGGACTGATCAAGCTGCTGACGAGGAATACCCCTGAGAAGACATCCTTGCTGAGTGGCCCGATGGATATAGCAGAATGATTTCTTGGAAAAGCCGCTGTTTCAGAGGAGGCTGAAAAAAGAGGACGATGAAGGAGCGGCGTTTGCAGAATAAAGGGAGGAAGAAAGGAAAGAGTGGATGAGTAGATTCATAAAAGCAAGAGTGCGACCTCTGATTTGTTTTTTTCTGTTCTCTGGCATGAATTACAGCCAAGAAACAGACTTCATGTGTCATGCTGACTCTACCTACCCTCCAGGCCACCCTTTCCTATCCATCAAAAGCCAGACAAGCCCACCAATCCCTCCCTGAGACTGAGCAGCTTAGCCAAGGTCCTCAAATATCGGCCCTTGAGTGAGGAGGCGTTTTCAAATGTGCTTTTTTCTGGTCATCTGTGACCTCGGTGTGTGCTGACCTCCAGGCCACTTCCTGTATGAGGTCACCGGCACTCAGGAAACATCCATCACAGAGAACACACAGTTTAACCATGCACAGGAAACTGAGTAAGCTCATGAGCTCACATGCATTTATAAGTTTTAGAGCTATAAATCCTGAGATCAGCTGTGTTTTTGTGCGTGATGTCATTCTTAATGCATTTATAGTTCTGCAGAATGATTCCTGTAATATAGTTCACGCAGTGAGCATTTGGACAGTCACACGTATCCACTTTAACACAGAGAGCCCAAGTTTAGGTTTTACAAGTAATTTTACAGATATGCACAAAGTCAGACAAAATCTTGTTGGAAACCACAGCGAGTGGTTGTCAGGGCTCTGTGCAGGCGGATGGAGAGGAGGATGCAAATGCGAGACTCGGACACTGAATACAACTCAAAACCTTCGCTTTATTGCTGGCACGAAAACAAAACAAGAAGTGACCGCTGATTACTGAGAACAGAAACACACAGGCATAATCTGATGGTACGACGCGACACTGAGCACAGGAAAACACAGGGCTAATATACACAGGGTGGTAATCAGGGAATGGGCAACAGGAGGGAGACACAGCTGGGAGGGATTGGACTAACGAGACAGGGGGAGCAAAGCTGCACACACAAAAGACAACAGGAAACATGAATCACTAAACAAAGATGCAGACACGACACTGAGAGACAGACTAGACACTGAACTAAACCTGCAATAAACATGAGAACACAACCAAGGAGCAAGTCCTAAAACATGAATAAACAGAAACCTATAATTCTCATAATGGTCAACAATGTAAAAGAATCAAAATACAATACAAAATACAAAATTAAACCAAGACACGAGAAACTCAAAATACTGGGTCAAAACTGACCCAGAACCGTGACAGTGGTTTTCGGAAGTCCTTACACACAGATGTCTACATGCTCCCCTGGACCTTTTCTGCAGAAACCTTCTGTCCTGGCCTGTTGTGAGTTACCTTTAGCTTAAATCTGGTCTTCAGTAAGCAGATTACACAGTAACGTATGCATCACTTTGGTGCATATATACAATATATACAATTATTTGAATAAATAAACCTTTAATTTTATATATATCAGTTGCATTTTACTCAGAGTTATTGCCTCATGTTTTTGTGGGTGTTAGTGTGTGGTGAAGAAGGACCCAACATGCAGACACACGGGGGCAGGAGCAAACGGCGAGCCCTTTGTTAAGCTGATGATGTTTGTGAGGCAAACCACAAAAGAGAAACAAAGTCAATGAATAGTAAAAACTCCCTGGGGCTAGAAGACACTAAAAACCAGAGAACAGCAACTTGTATTGTGTAAAGTTAACAGTGACATTGACAGTAGAGAGAAGGCAGCACTATAAATACACAGACGGAAGATTGAAGCAGAGCGGAAACACCTGGAGAGAAAATGAGTCACAGGTGAACATAATCTAATTGATTACATTAAAGGACTTGGATACTAAAGAAACTGAACATAATCTGCCTCACAAACCCTAAAAGTGAAAATATGTACTCTTTTTGGCCCCTGAAAAGCTGCCTTAAGGTCCAGTAATGTTGCTTAGGCAATAACTTCGTGTAGATAATACCTATCAGGACAAAAATGGACTTATACTGTAAGCTTATTTCTGAGAGTGTTACTGCGCGCATGCCTGTCTGTTGATCTGTCAAGCCAACTATCTCTGATCACTCTGGAAGACCATGTTGTTTACTTATATTGACAAGCACTTTTTGTCAGTCTAAACTCTTTAGTACATATACTAATTTTTAAATGTAACACACTTGGTAGCCAAATGTCCAATTGCTGTTGAACCCCCGAAAATCTGGGCCCTGTAATTTGGAAATATAAGTATATCACGTCTATTACATATTAAAGCTGGGATGTTTTTAGCATTATTTTAGAACAAAGTGGATGCTCTAAAGCACAGAGCCTGATGAACAAAAAGAGCCTGGCTGTCCACGTAATTACGGTTTAGACTGTACTGAAAGACAAGAAGCATTATAACAAAATATTGCTGTGCTGATGGGATCAGATTTATTGTTTTTTATGGATTGTTTGTCTTTTCTTCCCCAAAGAGCCTTCGGTCAGCCTTTTCTCATCCAGAATTCCACAGTTAGACTTTTGATTGTAACCACAGAAATAATAACAGAGGATTGAGTGTAACATTTGTGCTATAGTGAGTTAGACTACTAATTAATGATTAATGTGACTGCATTTTCATCATCGCTGCTGTTAAAAGGATAATGCTCAACGTCATAGTCTGACATCTGAGAATAGTGACTGAACACAAAGTGCTGCTGAAGCTTTGCAATGTGAAAATAAATCAAAATAATGAACAATTCTTTCAAACGTATCTGGCCCCTTTCTGATTTCTTTCTTTTTTTTTTTTTTGCATATTTGTGCACTTACTTTTAGATCATCGTGCGCATTTCATTAGTCAAACCCAAGTATAATGATTTTGTTTATGAACGAAGTGAAAAATGCTATCCAAACCGACCTCTGAATGACTGAAAAATGAACAGAAAGGTTTTGGAGTGGCCTAATCAAAGTCTGGAGTTAAATCTGATGGAGATGCTTTAGGATGACCATAAACAGACCGCTTACTAGGGTTGTATTAAAACAATTCTGCAAAGATGGTGAGCCCCAGTAATCTGAAAGACCTATTGCCAATTATTACAAATGCTTGATTGCAGTTCTTGCTGCCACTTTTTAGGTTTAGGTAGCATTTATTTTTTCCCACAGGGCCCTGTAAGTTTGGATAGCTTTTCCACCCTGACACCAACACAAAGACATCCATGCTGTCAATATTAAAGCACTTTATAGCTTTACCACTCAGTTTATATCTGCTTATGAACCGATGACTTGACCGATTAAGACTAGTTCTGGCCTATAAGCTTAAATATTCACTTAACAGTGTCTCTTGTATCAACAGCTGTCCCTGATGGTGAAGGTGATCCCCAGCCCTGACTGGTTTGTTGGTGTGGACAGCCTAAATCTTTGTGAGGGCAACCAGTGGAAACAGGAAGTGACGGTTGACCTCCACCCTTATGATGCCGGCACAGACAGTGGATTCACTTTCTCCTCTCCCAACTTCCCCACCAGCCCTCCAGAAAACATCACAAAGGTAGGAATGCTTCCAGTGTGGACTAGTACATCATGTGCTCATAACCTGACACTTCTCTACGTTCTAGGTACATTTTTGTATTGTCTTATTTTTATTTTTAGAACTTTGCAGCATGCTTAAGGGATATCATTCCTTCACTTAAGTTATTGCTTGGCAGGCCTCACGTCTGACATGAAGTTGTTTTTTCAGTTAAGAAGGCTCTCTTGCGTAACGGACCATCTATCTTTTCCCAGCATGTGTCTGAAAGTGGGCTATTGTCCATTCAAAGTTGTCTTGAGAATCTGCTGGCTCTCCTGATGAGATATGCCTCACCGCTCTTTGTTGACTTGTCCAGATCACCTCTCAGTTTCCAAACCACCCGGCCAACTCCTTCTACTATCCACGCTTGAAGGATCTTCCACCGATTGCCAGCATAAGGATCATGCGACAGAGCAGATCACGTGACCATCAAACCGCAATGTCCAACCACATTCTGCCCAACTCTATCAGTCCCCGCCGCTTCTCAGGTATGACCACTGGACACATTTAATGCTGAAAGGCCAAATATCGATGCAAATGATTGGATAGGAGAGCACAGGTAATCAAAGAGACACATAATGTGGTTTTATTGTGTTTTTCATTGCATTGAAGTTACATTATGGTTCATTTAGTCACATCTAATGACGATTTAAGTAGGTTAGCAGTCTATGTCTCTACTGAATAAATAGAAATGTGATTTAATGAGTATTTGGTTGGTTAAATCATAGTATAAAATGGGAATGCACTCAGTACCTTTAAATGCTACAGGAAACTCACAGCATAGTTGCGTCTTTGGTAAATCGCAGTACTTCTACACCTTTTTGGCTGTCTCTTATATTTTCTTCATCTCTTTCTCAGCAACGCCATTGGACTGTGAAGTGTCGCTCTGGTCGTCTTGGGGTTTGTGTCTGGGTCCCTGCTCCAGGGGCAGTGTCCGCCACCGCACACGTTACATCCTCTTACGACCAGCCAATGCTGGAACCCCCTGCCCTGAGCTGGAGGAACAGGCTGAATGCGTACCGCACAGCTGCATGCAACTCCAGTAGCTGCAGAGTGCATGAGCACGCATGCTGCCGGTATGCAACACACTGGGACTTTTGTGTTTTTACTGCCGGACTTTAAAAGGTTTCTGCATCTTGATCGTCGCGTTTATGAAGCGAGGGGTTCAATTGTCTTTGTTACAACTCAGTTTTGTAAGTTTAAGATGTGGCGCGATAACAGCGAAGGCCGTCAGATTTAGGGCGAACGCTACTCTGGAACTGAAGTTTATGAGTCTGATTGTAACTGCATGCTGAACGGGTATTAAAGCTTGAGACAGCGGTTTAAGTGTTTTGAGTGCAAAGTGATATTTTTGGTTTTTTGGAACTGTTGTAGATGCAGAAGAGAAAAACTGATTATGGTTTGTTCATTGTCAGCAATGTATGCATTCAAACTGTATGTCGATAGCTGCACACTGGCACAGAGTGCTCACAAATGTCCTTGCACATACTGCATACCTCTACAGGCATGCTGGCATTACTTCTCTTAGATAACCTATACATGCTTGCCGGATTTCAAAATAACTTCACACCCCATTTTATAAATATGACCTTTCATAAGAGACACCCAGTGGCTGACTTGAAGCGTAATGCCAGTCTGAAGAAGCTGGCTTGCAATAAGACATGATGCAGGTTTTTATTGGAAGAAAGATTAAAATATTTGTATTATTTTCTCTTTTGATATTTCATTGTTGAGACTTTTGTACATACTTTAATGTATCGTATCTTGTATAACTCATGAATAAACATGGAGGTGTGTTTTTCAAATTAATTTCTGTGTTGTTCTTCAGTGTGGTTCTTCGGTGTGTTTATGTGTGAAAATGATATATTTTTAATAAATGTTTAATAAATGCATGGGGTCAGGACCAGGCATTTATCTGAAGATCGTCAGATTTTCATTGGGGGACATTAGGGACAGCACAAATTGAGCAGTTTGGGGACAAAGTCACAGAGAGGCAAAGGTGAGATAGTTTGGACACATGCAGAGGTGGGATATATTATACAAAATTATGTTTAAGCTGAGGAAAAAAAGAGGAAGACCTCAGAGGAGGTTCATATGGATGTAGTGAAGGAGTAACTTCTCTTTTACACCAGCGTAATAGAGAAGGATGTTGGGGGACAGGGGGAGATGATCTCCTGTGGTGACCCCTAAAGGAAGCAGCCAAAAGAAGAAGATTGCTGCAAAGATACACAGCCATAAATATCCCAAAAAATATAGCTCACAGTTATATTTGTTTATAGATAGAAAGGCACATTTATTAAATTTCTTTTAAACTGTTTTAAAGCCTCACTTGGAAGTCTCGTCATTGCCCTTTAATAATGGCTTTGTGGCGATGTAGCACCTCCTAGTGGTCACAATCAACAACAATAACCACAGTGATCCTCATGAAAAATAATTTCAATCACAGAAATACATGTATTCATTAGATGACACATTGTGCGCTTACTCCAAGCTTATTTCCTTGTTTACTGGCAGTATTTTTGTACAATTGAAGACTTAAATTTTAACAACAAATTTACATATGTTATTTCTGTGATCTTTGTAACAAGTGAATATCCCTGTAAAATAAACCAATAGGTTGTTGAATCAAATTAAATATAAATAATGTAAATAATCGTTTTGATAAAAGTATTTTAACCATTTGCAGTGTAGTTGGGCTGGTCCAGCTATCTCTGGTTAACACTGCGGAAAATCCTGAAAAATAAAGCAGCTATCTTTGAGGTGCTCTGCGGTCCTGTCGCTAGAGGTCGCTGTTTGCGCACACTTTCTCCGTGTCTCCGCAGTGCTGCCTGAATACGAGGAGTGCGTTTGATTGTTGCAGGGCTAAATGGCGGACAGAGCTGGATAGTCGCGTTAACACCGAGGACAAAAACGTTTCGACTGGGTGAATTCCTGGCGTGACCCGGTCCTCAGCCGCGTGTCCCCGGGGTGCAGCGCAACCGTCGAATCGAGCCGTATTGTGCACCGAGCTTAAAGCTGTTTTGCGATCGTACCCTAACCTTAGCTTTCTTGAGTTCCCATCCCAAGCGGAGAAGTTAACACTGTTTATGGTGGCTTACTAGAGGCAGCTAGCCTGTGAGCAAACCATGGAGGACTCTCTTGAATTGATAGGGAAGCGTTTGCTTTTGCTCCTCGACGACGGCAGGTCCGCGAATGGATCCGAGTCGGAGCAGGCTGCCTGGGCCCGGGACTGGCTTCGGGGAACTGTGCGGGCAGTGAGTGTCATCGGCCTGGCCGCCCCGGAGGTTAGCGTCGGGGAGGCGACAACAACAACCACTGCAGCGGGGCTAACGGTCAGTGTTTACATTCAGCTGATGCCGTCCTGCATAGCTAAATACACAACAGTTAGCATACATGCACAGTGTACCAGCTGTTTATTATGTGCTCTACATTAGCGAACACATTTTTACCTAGCACCGATGCTACATTTGCTAGTATTTTATGTTAGCTTTTGGACATACTGGCTAGCTCCAAGTCGCAGCCACTGGGGCGCAGCTAAACTCGAGGCCGGGGATTTTTTTTGGCCTTTGCTTTGTTCGCTTTTCAGCTCTCTGACACCCAGCTTCAGTGTTATTCATTAACTATTTAGCACGAATTTGGAAAGCATCGATACGTTAGAGCTAACTAAGCGTTCATTGCACTGAAACAAATCGCCGGCAGTCACAGAGTAACCGTAAAGGTTGAGGAGCTTCCACCGTTGGCTGAGGCTTGTCTAGTTAAAGGCCTTACAAGTTCATAAAGGGGCGAACCAGGAATCCCTGCGAGCGTACTCTGCGTCCAGATTATTAAGTATTCACACTGTTGCTCGGGGTGGTAATTAGAATGAATGAATGAAAGTGTAGTGTTGCCGAGCCCAACAATTGGGAGAGTTTTTGAAAACTGGGTGGAGGTGGTTGACCTACATGACAGCTGCACTTTGTAGTCCAAATGCGGGTTATTACAGTAGCATGCATTTGAATTGACATTAACAGATAACACATCGTTTTTTAATTAAACAATTAGCATGAGGATTGCATTTATGTCTAATCTGTCTACTGTTGTTTATCAAGTAAAGTAAAAATGTAGTTTTAAGAAAAAAATGTAATCGCTTCCGATGTTTTATCTTTTTGTTTATTAGAAAAAGCAAGCTACGACAAAAAATGTAGCCCTTAGTCCTCTTTTTTTTTTTTTTGCTTTTATCTAAAGAGTAGCAATACTACTTATTGACCTTAGGTGTGCATTTCCTAATTGTATGTTGTTTTTTTCCCTTGGGAAATAAATCTTAAACTGAGGAATTTACTTCTTGTGTGAGAACTTGTTCCTGTGCTCTGCCCTTATCTTGCATGTCGATGCATAATTATAAAAACATCATGAAAAACATCTTCTATCCATGTTCGTCTCCTGGTCTGATAACCTGCTCCATCAGTGATAAACAAAAGGACTTGGACATGTGGTACTGCACACCCTTTTATGCTTTTAAACCTTGCTGTATGTGTCAGGGGTCTGTCCAGCTTGGAGGGTTTATGCCACCGGTGTTTACTTCTCAGAGCCCCACCATCCAGTGAACATGTAAGGACATGTCAGAAAATCTGAGCTTTGAAAAAATAGGTGGGCTAACTGATCAGTCTAAAAACGTGTGAAAAGCTTGTTTATGTGCTAACCTTTTTAAAGAGGTGTAGCTGGCAGGCGTGAGTCAGTGGTCTAGTGAAGAAGATGGAGGATAGATTGGTAGTTGTAATGTTTTTTCTTCTTTGTAGGGCAGCGCTCATCCATGATCAGAAAAAAATCCCACTACAATGATTTTTGGTCAATATTAAGTTAACTTTCAAAAGAGCACAGTGTCTTTTAAACATTGAATTTATCTAAACTTTGAGTGTATTTGAACTGAAACCCAAATAAATAAATTAAAACGTTTTGTGAAGGGACACATTTTATCAGTTAGATCCACACTAGACCATATATGCCCTGTAGCCCTGAACCTTTCTACATGTTTCCCACAAGATGTGGATATGAGAACATGTTCAATCAGAAGTGTGATCGGACATAAACGCTCTCTTCCTGTTACAAGGTCTGAGCGAAGTCCGATTGAGCCCATTTGCAAATACAGGTAAGGGTCCAGTGACTTCAATATAGGGTCATATGGGCTAGTTGGGGTCATATTTCAACTAGCAACTCAAAAACCATTGCCTCCACTGCAGGTGTTCTCTGGGTGTAGACAGCTGACGAGAGGCCCTAGTTGCACCACACAGCTGGAAGACCTGCAAGGAAGTCACTAGTAAAGTAACAGAGAGTCAAGCCTTCCTCAGTTGCAGACAGGGGATTAGGCCAAGAGCCATCCAACACCTTTAGTGTGTGCTGCTGATGGCAGACTGGACCAGGCACCCTGGTAACGTGGAGACAAAGACAGCCGGAGGCAATCGTTAATGATCCTTCCCTAGGTGAACCTGCAGAAACCTTAGTATGGCTTCTCCTTGTTGATCATAGGTTCTCTTCCTGTCGTCCCAGCTTGATCTGGACTTGAAGGTACACAAGATTTATTAAATAGGCAGGCAAATGAAATTACATTAATGATCCAGCCACTAAGATGACTGATAGTCGTAGATGCCATACAGAAATCTATGAATTTTTGCTTCTTATCATCTTTAACCATCCGATACGTTTTATCACACGTGCTTTCTGATTATCTTATCTCATAGATGTCAGTGCAGGCTGTCAGGACCAGATCCTAACAACAAAGAAAGAAGAACGTATGCTCTGTATTCATAAAAAGCAACACCAAATTTAGATTAAGAAGGTTTTGCAACAAGCGGCATTTGGTAGGGTACTCAAAGCTCACTTTGTGGTCGTTCCTGCTTCATTGAATGACATTAGATCCCCTAGGAGCATGGTACTTATATGTGCAAACTTAAAAAGCTAAAACAGTACTAACCAAGTTGTTGCAGCTGGTGTTCTGACAAAAACAGATTGTCAGAATAGTGGCAAAAGTGACTAAAATCAAGCAATAAACTAATTTTAGTAAAGTTTCTGCATTCCTGCATTTTAGACCTTTGGCAGTTCATGATTTTAACATATGGCGCTTATTGTATAAATGAAAACAGATGGCCTTTTTGTTGTATCTGGCAGTTTTTCAAAGTCTGTCTGAGAGGCTGAGTTTCTTTGCAGTCAGTTTACAAGTGGACAGACTCCTTGCAGTTACCATGAAACTCCAGTGGCTGCGAACCTGCTAGTCCTGGCTGTCCTGTCTTCTGTTTTCCCTACGCACCAGATTGCTTGCCAGGTTGCTGTTGCAGGGGCCCTCTATCATTCAGATAATTCTCCAGAGAGGATGCTTCTTTTGTCACATGTACTCCAACATCACTGTCTTGGACGGCAGGTGGTGATGCTAGACCTTCAGCTGTGGTGGATGCACTACAAGCTCCAGGGCCACAGTAGTTTGGAGCTGCAGTCTAACACTGTGGAGGTGGAGTATAGGTATTTAGTCATTAATGCATATGCACCTGTCTATACAGAGAAACACTGGATTGTGAAGATATCTGATGAAGTTGAGAAGAGACTGGTTTTGGTTGATTTTTTTTTTTTTTTAAGTCATTAATCCTTGACATGTTGGTGATTTTTATTCCTTGTTACCTTTGGAAAAGTAAAACTGAAGAACCATGGAAATCATGGATCACTTACTCGCCGCAAATACTCTCCATATGTGCTGCAGACAAGCGGTTATTACCTGTGATTTATTTGGACCAGTGAAAGCTTTTGACACTGAGATCTGTGGATTTCATAGAGTACTGTA